GTTTGTTGTTATTCCAGTATTAATATATAATTTGATGAAACGCTTGAATGCAAACACAATTTTACATAAGAATCTCCATTACATTAACCAGTGCTTTGAGGTTTCGCTTTATTCAATAAAATAGAGTGGGTTTTAAGGGATATATAAAAACAAAATTTCATTAAATTTTTATTAAACTATTTGTTTTTATCAAACTTTTCTGTTAAATGTATTATTGTATTATTGGCTTTGAAATTATGGGTAGAATATAGTGGAAAATATATTCAATTTTGTTAATCAATTTCACAACACGTTCTCACATTTGGGATTAGATATTAAAACCGCCTCATAATTAATATTCATTATTATTCTGTGTGTACTGTATGTTAATATTTATAAATTATATTTTATTTAAAACCTAAAACGCCAAATAAATTATTAAACATTTATGTACAATACAAACTTAAGTATTTTTATCAACATTTTAAACTTGAATGCAAAATATCTAAACATTAAAGTTATTATTGTTATAATTTATAAACGAATGCTTTATCTGTAAATCCAATCGTTAAATAAATAATGAGTTTGAGTTTCATAGGAATTCATGTGAATTCACAATCTCTATACTAATTACTTAATTATTAACTAATGAGAGTATACATCGATCGCAATTTCATTCAACATATGATTATTGAAAAGGCAAATAAAATGTTTAGAGAAGGGAAAGCATTTTTGCATAAATAATGAATTCGGACTCAGTTGGCACCGGAATGTCACCTAATATTAGCATAATTTTCGGTATATGTAAATCTCTAATCTCTAAAAGCAATTAACTTTGAGATAAACGTAAACCTTGAGATCTATTGAAAACTTTAATTACAAAAAGAAACAAAAAATTTCATAATTCCGTACCTTTTATATTGTGACAAAATTAAACGTACAGGTAAACGCATTTACTTTACATGTATTGGTAAATCACATATGTTATAGGTACAGTAACAATATTATCACGAAATATATTTCGCAAAAATATGAAACATATATTATGCATTATACAATACATGATATTCAACTCTAAAATTATTGTACTGCTATTTACAATGTGTAAACAGTTTGTGGGTTCAAAATTATTAAATTTAATTTCATATTCATTTGGTGATGTAATGTAAGCAATTGTATTCGTACCTATAGTTTAGGTTTATTATAAATATACTTTTAAGTTTGTTACCGTATATATATTTGTACATTCCATAATTATAGTTAATGTAATGCTTTATAAATCACATGTAAAATGTGATTTTTATTTTTATTATAAAGTTTATTAAGAATTGTAACATAATAAATTTAATTATTAATCTGAGATTTAACTTTTTAAAAGCATTTCCTAATTTCTATTGATTATTATAAATTATTCAAATGAATGCATTCATAATATAAAGTATTTACATAAAATCATATGTAACATAATAAATTTAATTATTAATCTGAGATTTAACTTTTTAAAAGCATTTCCTAATTTCTATTGATTATTATAAATTATTCAAATGAATGCATTCATAATATAAAGTATTTACATAAAATCATAAAAATATATTTACATTTTAGTATTTATTTTGTTAGTGAAAAATATTCAATGAATAAATTGATTGGATTTTTATTTATCAATGAAATTAGTGAACACAATTGTGACTTATATGATAGAAATGAGCCACAAAATTGCTTATAATAATATCAGTTTATGAAAATAAAACCAAATTGATTGATCACATCATTTACTATGTGTTAATACAAAAGGAAAATATTTTTTTCAAACCATTAATCGAGAAAATTTTTATATAAACTTAATTTTGTTTTTGGCATAATTTCCATCGATTCAGTCACAAAGATTTTTTTTAATATAAAGTTTATGTTATCTATTCAACCGATTCTTATATTTTATATTCTGTATGGAGAATGTGCATTAATAATGAGTTTTCTCTCTATAAATGGTCTATATTTTTGTCACTAATGGACACATCCATCACATCAGTCATAGTCAGTGTATAACGCCTTTGAATTGTGTTATTTGTGTTAATGAATATTTGATTTTATTTATTCCACATCAATGTGATTGTTATGAGTTGTTAACGGATTAGAGAGAGAGAGAGAGAGAGAGAGGGAGAGGGGGAGAGAGAGAGAGTTTCATAATTTATTTATTTAAAAAATATAATGTATTATATTAATAGTTAGCATTTGTATATTTGAATTGATCTACATTTTATGGAATTCAATATCATGTTATGATTAAAATATTTTGTGTTTTGCTTTTTTTGTATAAAGACATAAAGATTTCAAAGAAATTTAATATAAATTTTTGAAAGTATTCTCGTTTAACATGATATGACCAGTAAATATTATATAATATTATTGAAAGTATTTTTGTAATAAAAACATATAACTTAAATGTTGTAAAATATAAAATATATATATAATATAGAATTACTTATGCATCTTAAGCGCCTTAATATAATAAATCTTTTCATATTTCAAAGACATTTTCAGATATTTTCATTCAATGATAAATTTATTCATAAATATTTTTCTATAATTTAAATATAAATAGCTACAGTATTTGATTGAATTCCTTTATGACATTGATAGTTTTAACTTTATAATCTAACTTTCTAAATTATTTTAACTATTATCAATTGAATGATATTCTGTGATTCTGTGATACCTAAATATTTTAATTGATATTTTATAATAAATACACTTTTTTCTTTATTAAAAAATTGCTAAGTAAATTAAAATAATCTCTAATTTACATACAGTATAAATAAAATTAAGCTATATTAGGGTGGCCAGAACGTCCTCCGCGGGGAAGATTGTCCTCCTTTTGTTCTCTCAGAACACTGTCCTCTCCGGTGTCTGAGGAGGACATTAAGATGTCCTCATTGAACATAAAATGTCTCTTTTTTGCTAATTTTATGTGTTTTATAGTAAGTTTGTGTATATAAATATGTTTAATTCTAGTAGTTTTATTGAATGCAATATTATTTTTTGCAAAATACTGTTTAAAGATTGTTTTCCAAGTAAAGTTCATACTCGTCTCAATTAATATAGTAACTTTATAAAATTAATTTTTTAAGATTTAATCCTTTTGTGCAAATATCTTGAAATTATATGATCTGTATTTGTTATTTAGATAAGTTATTTAAGTGTATAAAGACAAATTAATTCAGATTTGAAAATAGCCTGTCCTCCTCACGTCCTCCCCATAACATAACATTTATGGCAAATGTCCTCCTTGGTGCTCAAAGATTTCTGGTCACCCTAAGCTAGAGTGCAATATTGTGCATATACTGTACAATATTTTATTTTATATTTATCTTTGGAATATGTTTTGAAAATATAATTTTGTAATTAAATTCATATCATAGGGTTATTGTCAACAAATTTTTATCGATTATATAAAGTAATAGTATATAAATGGGAAATAGTTTTCGAAATAGATTTCGAGGAAAGATTTAATTAATTAATGTTTTTATCGCTAACGTTAACACATAAAAAACTGCATAACTTATAAATATTTTGACATTTAATTATTAATGAAAAACATTAAATATAAATTAAATAAAAAATTGTTTAAATATAAGGATTTAATGAGGATACAAATTATGAAAGTAAAACCTTTTTAAATAGACACTTACACTATGGGTTTTCATTTATTTATCCATTATTTTTTACAATAATTGTAAATATTGTCCATTAATTAAAATTTAATATAATTTTAATTTTTATGGTATCCAATCATTAGAGAAATACATTATTAGCAACACATAAATATCTATTAATTACGAAACAAATTATTATTTCATTTCTTCAATAGTGTACTCTTAAAGGAAATAACAAACACAAACCTATTAAGCATTTTACAAGAAATTGTGATAAAATGTATATAAATCTTTACAAAATTGTTTTATAGTCATTATGAAATATTATTATGACATCCAGCACTTATGCGAGAGAATATTCTGGAGTTAAGAATATTCTTTGTATTTCATTTGATTCCCATAATATAATAGAGTTTTTAATATAAAATAATGCTTTTGTGGAAAATAATAAAATAAAAAGCAAATAAATTTTCTTCTTACGACTCCGCGACCTACCAGTGCTCTAAGCACTCGAAGCTTGTAATACAAAACAATTTCAACGACTGAGACTTATTTGTGTGTAAAACAACAGCTATAAAACTGGCTGTAATTGTGTTGTGAATGATAACAACTAAAATCATTAAATCGCTTTCAAAACTCATTTGTTTTCTATTATTTTTCTATACAGTATTAGTGAGAAAATAATTGTTTGAATTACGAGAATATCTATTATATATCTATTTATATACAGTAATAAAATCGATAAACAATTACTTACAGCGAGTGGTGAAAGGAATTTGTGACTAATTTTTTTGTTAAATATTTAATCAGATGTTTGTCACAACATTCAAATAACTTATTTATCAAATCACGACTACTAGATATTTGGCATTAAATCAAATTATGTACCACATTATTAAAGTAATTATTTATAATAAATAAAAATCATCGAAATAGATTTTACAAAATTACAAATTAAAATCATTATAAATACAAATTACCAAAAATAATTTATTTCTCATATTTGTCAAGAATAATTAAGGTAATAAGCAAAGTTAGCACAATGATTATTATGTTTGTTTTAAATGTATGTTGTACGAATAATATTTAAAATAAAGCTAAATCTATCATTTATATAACAAATGCATCTGTTTTATGGGATATTTTTAGACTTAATGGTTAAGCCCTTTATCTCCACATTTCCATATCAGCACTCGTGTCTCAATAAATGCTTAAACAAACACATCATTGAAATACTTTTGTGTTAAACCATTCATTAGAAGGATATATAGAATATATATTACAGAATATTCTGTTTTTATTGTATTAGAAATGGACAGTAATTACTAATTATTTAAAAGGTATTAGATTTTTCTCATGAAAACTAATCTACACTTGTGTGACACCATCTCTCATAATGCGGAGGCGTTCCGGAGGCGCCAACACTGGCATCAATTTCCTGGTAATTGTGGGCAAGTATTGCATCAAATAATACATTGTTAGCAACGGCTGCCGACAAACCCATATCTCATCCAAACCATTAGCCATTGCTATAGCCATGAGATAAGCGCATCGACTCGTATCCATTCGGTAGGCATTCCTCGCGTTTTTCTCATTATTCACTTTTACATCCATTTTATCGGTGTATAGATTCTCGAGAATACGCGAGAATACCGGTCCCGGACAGGCGATTGTCACCGACATACCCAGTGTCTGCACTTCAGTCCTCAAGCACTCAAAGTAGCCCTTAATTTAAATCAAATAAAGTTTTATACATTTAAATATTTTAAGTTTTATATGAACTCACATGTAATGCATGTTTGGAAGCAGTATAGGAGGCAGAGTTGGGCGCCCCTGGAGTCCGTAGAAAATATATTAAGTCTTATAATAAGTGTTAAGTCATTGTATTAATGATTACCTATCTTTCCGGCTGCACTCGATGTGACCACAAACTGACCCTTAATCTGTTGGTTGAGAAAGTATCTCAACACGACCCTGGTCAGGTTGACGAGCCCGAACACATTGATGTCAAATATCTCTTTGTCGACCTCAATGTCTATGTCCTGAAAGGCAGCCCTTTGACTGCGACCGGCGTTTGACACCAGTATATCGAGTCGCTTGAAATGTGTCAATACATGTGCCAAACATTCGTCATGTTTTGCAAAGTCTTTGATATCAAAGCTGATAACCAGTACATCGTTGCCATCCAATTGACCGAAACTAAGACAC